GTAGGCAATGGCAGCCCATACCATCACACCAGGTGTGGGAGCGATGTGTCGCTGTACAGCGAAGGCAGGATTGAGGCATTCACCACGGGCTCTCCACACACAAACACGATTGTCATCACTACCGAGATTGAATCTGGATTCGTTGCTAAAGAGGACCTGGCTCCATTCCACAGCAGTCCAGTTTCTTCAGGCTCAACACCACTCCAAACGGAGGCGTCGATGGGTGGGCATCAAGGGGCAGCACGTAATGGGCGCCGCGATACCAACTGTCCTTCAGAGCCAGGAGCCTTCGTATGGTTCGAGAAGACACAGGGGCACCTAGTGAAGGTGTTGCCTGTGCCTGGATGGCGGTCGATGAAGCAATTGGTGGTACGCGTGCATTTCGTACGATGTGGCGGTCTTTTCACGACTGATCTGTCGAGGGCGTCCTGAGCCTGGTCTTCGTGTGCATGACATCTCCGGGTCTCACAATCAGAGCGGCCTAATTGACGAGCTATTCACCTAGCTGACCACCCAGCTTCCATCATCTCGATGACTCTCCCCCTCTCAAACTGGGACAACTTCTCATATTGCCTTCGAACATGGCGTAATGGCATGTCTACCTCAGCTCTTCCTTTGTAATGATTCAGCACACTCAACAAGCTTTTGGTTACACGGCTATAAGTTGCATCACTGCTGCATTTCTAATCATTGCATATTCTCCCCGACAATACATTTATTGCAAATATCGTTTTCGATCCGCATTATTTCGTGGGCGCTAATTTTTTGTCCATAGTGTAAGTGGCCATGCTAGTTTTTTAAGACTTTCATTTTCAAAGAAGTTTTTCAGATTTTTAGGGATAAAAGAATTGTTTGAAAAGAAATTTCTATGTTTTTTCTTTGGCTGATGCTATCTTCTATTCTATCTTAGTTTTAAATTTTACCTTGTAATCTTGCCTAAATCAACGGCGACCCTAGGTTGCCCAGACCGCTCACCGGAAATCTAGACAACTGGAGTCGGTATGCTTGTTCTCCGCATCTCACTTCAGTTCATTGATAACAATCTTCGTTTCACACCTTTTCGAGCTCTATTCAATCAGTGGCCCATTTTGGCACACCCACAGAGTAAAACTATAGTGCTATCTTCCCAAAATTTTACTTGTGACTCCTCAGCCTAATTAGACTGCCTACCTTTTTTTTTTTTTTTTTTTTTTTTTTTTTTTTTCAAAAACTACGACTTGAAGGTAGAGTGCTGAAAGGCTAAACTGAAAATTTCGACAATAAACTTTGAATTTCTCAGTAAATGTCGGACCAAATTTTACAAAATTTAATATCTAGGCATAATTTGAGTCGTAGAAACGAAATCTGAAAAAACAAATTGGTATGTTAGTTAAAAAAAAGTCCGATTTTGTGTCAAAGTACCTATGTTAGAACAATGCTATATACTATAAATGTAATATATATCCTAAGTCGCGCTTTCGGAGACAAAAAACGCAACTTGAAATTTTTCAATTGGCCTAGTACCGTGGTCGGCAAACTTATTAGCCAAAGAGCCAAATATGAATATTACCACATTTTAATTGGGAGCCAAATCTCTCGTTTTGTAAACTTTTATTACGCTAAATAAACTAAATTAATACTTAATAAATATTTATTAATGCGAACAATATGTGCATCTCCTTGGAAAGTTTGGTAAGTTAGGTTTGTAGTTGTTGTTTTTTAATTTTAGGCTGATCCAGTTTTCATCAATAAGCGCTTCTCAGTTTACGCTTGATAATGTTCCTGCTTGAAAACGATTGTTCGCATATATAGTAAACCGAAAAGGGAAAGAACAGCAAACGCGAGTTTTTCAGCTGATCGTAAGATCAGGAGTACTATCCATGCGTTTTTTGAAAATGATCATGTCTTCCTTCTCCAGGTCATTCAAAGCAGACCACTTGTGGTTAACTAAGATCATTTTTCTCTCAATATTTCCAATTCAACACAAAGAGCGTTCGAATTTAGAGCGAGCGCCATATCTCTTGTTTTTTTAATCAGCATTGTATTTCAAAGCTACCAATTGTCAATTTTAAAGGAAAATTTTCACTCGGTTATCGTAGCATTAAGGATTTTGACAAATGTAAAGTTGCTCTGCTGTTTTTAAATTCCGAACTGCTAAGAAATGCTTCCCTCTATTAAAATTAGGTTTTAAATGGGTTTTATCAAGAGGAATATTTTTTCTTGGCGATTGCTTCAGCAAGCTCGGAAAGTTAAAATGCTTTCTCTTTCAAAATCCTGTGCAAAATGGATAATTTGTTTCGAATGTATTGCTTCTCCTAACAAAAAAAAAATTCAGTTCGTTTTCCCTTGTATTTTACGATTTAGCTGATTTATTTGAGACGTAAGTCTACCATACTAAAGTTTTTGATCCACTGTCGTCTGTTAGTTCTGATAGTGAACGCCTTCTCAAGGAGAAATGCTTTAATTTCCGGAAAAAGGGACGCGAAACGTTTTAAAACGTCCCCTCGTGATAACCAACGTACCTTGTTATGAAGAAAAAGATCAGTGTACTCACTCTCCATTACAAATAAAAATTCTTTGAATTGGCGATGATTAAGAGCTTTAGTTAAAATGGAGTTGATAATAGTAATCACTAATTCCATAACTTTACAAATTTCTTCCGGAAATTTTTGCGCACAAAGCGCTTCTTGGTGAATGGTACAACGGTAAACACGTATCTCGTGATTAATTTTTTCCTTCAAAACAGCAAGGTTTTCATCTTCCGTTTTTCTTTGCTTTTTTTTGGTAGACATGTTAATTGGGGTGCCTATAAAAATATTCCAAATATATTTTTTTCTAAAGCCACCAGTACAAAATTATTACCATTATTAAATTGATGAAAATAAAAATTTTTAAAAATACAATTTTATTATATATGTAACTGCACTAAAAAGAAAAAAAAAAATTCCATCATCAGAAAAACAAAACTTTTAATATGACCAAAATGGAAGAAAACTTCCAACATTTGGAAAATAGAAGTTATCGAAAAATCGATTACAAATTTGTACCGGAACCATAAACATACATAGCAGTGTATAAAATCGTATAAAAATACCTGTAAGTTGTGCAGCTAGATTAAAAAATACAACAATTTTTTAATAAGACAGGACAACGGCAGACACGGTTAGATAAGGAAAAACTGTTTACACTGCAACTGTTGCTCTGTGATGACAATTTGTACCTTCACTATAAAAAGCATGCATGCGCATGCCGGTAGCTTTACATGGTTTATGTTTACGTTTACGAAAGCTAATAAAATTAAACTCGATGTTCGTTACGCATTTTTACAACAATATAAAATTTTAATTACCTATCTATCTTTTTACTCAAACAAAAAATTATACATGTTCTCGATTTTAATTTATCAAAATAAGATGTAATTTTTTTCTTACCAAGTTTCTTTTTTAAAGAAAATATTATTGCGCTTTACGTGGATAATTGTACTAGAGCCGCACTTAAGGAGCCAAAGAGCCACATGCAGCTCTGGAGACGCACTTTGCCGACCACAGGCCTAGTAGAACAATAGATATAGATCTGTCCTATTTTTTTTTCGCAGTGTACATCATATACATCGCAGTGTACTTCCAGTATTTACAACATTACACCAAAATATGTGGTATTATGCATTTAACAAAAAAATTATTCTTAGTTTTTCAACTTTCATTTAATGTATTTTTATACATGCTGTATATACGATTTGAATTTGAGCAATGGCTACACAGTACGGAATAAAATAAGTTTATTTCCAGCACGAAATTGTGTGTCGAAAATTCTTAAGATATGCTGTTTCCAAATATTTTGTGACTTTGATATTAATTTGAATTTTAGGTAGCGTGAAGTTAACACACAAAACTTCAATAACAAAAAGCAAAAATATTTTTTTGTAAACTATTTTATTACGAAAATTGAACATTGATTTCATGAGAGAAAAGACTTTTTAAATTTTTTAAATCTGAAAGCTTTCATATTTTACATTACGCCCAAATGGGCGTTTATTTAGCATTTTGTATGATACCTTTATTTATTAAACAACATGTTCTTTGCACTTAAACCATAAAATTCATTTCAGAATCTTTTTATTTATTAAATATCACGTTCTTCGCATTTAAACCGACCGTAAAATCAGTTAAAGAACAATATCGCAAGATAATTTTTAAATGAGCATAACTTTGGAATTTCCGATACACAATCTCACTGGCGCGCTGGAGATAAATTGGTTTTATTTTCCTGTACAATGTTGCTATCGCTAGCTTTGAAATCGTCAAGTTTGTTAATCAAAAATTCGTTAAAGTGTTACATAATATGAAATCGACAATAAAACAAATTCTAACTTCCAAATTAGGGGCTTCCGGATGCCCATATTCGGTGGAGGATTACGTTATTCAAAAATTGATGGCACTAGGTACCGTTGTTTTATTACACTACGAGAAACATACATACATTTATGCAGATTCTTCATTATTTAATTTCTTTCGATATAACACAGGGCTCTAATATTTGGTGGCAGCAGTTTGAAAAGTGAATCAGTGCAAAATGCCAATACGAAATTAATAGTCTTTCTGGGCAAATTGCCCCTTTAGACTAAAAATGTCTGCCAACACTTAAACTTGTGTCGACAATTCTGAACATATACTGCCGTGCTGCTTTTAAAATTTTTATAATTTTGCTGTTGAACTATATATGGCATAAGTGCAAAGAAAATTATGCCTAATAATAAGCTAAAGACAAAAAGAAATGGGTTAGCAGGAGTGAGTGCAACAGCAGACTGGTAAACTTATGAGCTCAGCGATAACGTAAGAAACTGAACAAACCCTGTTGGATGACCCTTCAAATCTGAAAACTGTCAGATGTTTCTTTATTACTATTATTATTATTTTATTCATACACTTTTTTATTTTTAGAGGTTGTTTCTGCCTTAGTATGCAATGCTAAATATCAAAATAAATATAACAGAATAAAAGTAGGAATTAAAAATATTTACATTGTCTGTTGCAGGAAGCTGTTTTATTGTTACTTACTGCAACAATAAGAAGATAATGAAACAATGAAACTCTGCAGGTGTTACTTTTGAAAGAAATGAAAACATCAAGTTTCATAGCTCAAAAACGGCTTGACGAGACAGACGATACAGAAAGGAAAGGTAAATGAGACATGTTCTTTTGAAGATTGATCACTCATTGTAAGAGATCGGTTTTGCTATTCTTCTCATGAAGCTTCAGGATTAAATTATGAACTTAAATTTTACGAAATGTATGTAAAATAATATTTAAATTTTTTAAAACGGTAAACATTTAGTATTTTAAATTTAACAATATGTATGAGAAAATATTTGTGCTTACGTTGGAGAGAAATTAGACTTTTCAAAAAATAAAACAGGAAAAATCAACTATGTCTAAATGAATATTCGAATCACGGATCTTCCCTTTGTACCTGTATATGCTACTACTTATACTACGACAGCTAACGCGGAGGAAGGCAATAATTACTTATAAAATAATTAAATTTCTCAGTAATAAATTATTTAAAGTTTTAGAGCCGTAGGTTTTACAGTTTTCTACAAGAGGCTTAACAATAAGTTTAGAATATTCGATAGAATAAAATCGTTTGCGACAGTCTCCGTTCGTGTAATTATACCCGAGAAACTTCATCGTCCATATGTTTAATAATTTTAGAAAAGTATTTAAAATTAATAATTTTGAAAAAGTATTTAAAATTATTTAAAATAATTTGAATAATTTATCATTTCTTGATAAATTAAAATTAACTTAGTCTTTGAATTTAATAACTTTATAACTGCTTAATAAAGTAAGAGATTTAAAAACACGAAACGCATTTCTTAATAATGAAAATTTTATTTAATGTTTAATAATATTTATATCTATAGTTATAAATTAAAAATATATGCAGATTTGCTTTGTAAATACTAAAATATGTTTCTAATTGTATATGTTTGGAGTTTTATATATTTAACTACTCAGCTTGCTAAAGCATCAATTAGATTTTTTAAACTATTTGTCTTTATCATTTAACAAACTTCTCTTAGGAAAGGTTTTTAGTTTTAATTTCAGTTATATTTGACTAATTCTTCACTGCTTTAAAACCCAGAAAATACATGTAAATCTCAACTGATTTAAAATATCGCTTTCGTATTCAAAACTTAAGGAGTGTTAGATACGAAGATCTATATAGAAATGCAAATTGCATTTAATTACTAATTAAGAATTTAAATATTATTATACAACGAATAATAAAATCACAGAAAAATTCAATCATAAATTTAAATATTTTAATTAAATGTCGTCGATCTTCATTACAGTTAATTAAAAGTTTTCAGTTTTATCTGATTTTAATTTTTCACTACATAATGTTTAATTTATAATTTCAATATATTATATATCAGAATTTTATATTAATGCATTTTATACAATTCCTGAAAGTATTATTCATCAATAGAAGGGTAAATCACCCTTATATCATTTCAAAATGTCATCAGAATTGTAATGATAAACCGATATAAGAAACCTAAATAAATACTACAACTTAAAATTTGAATTGGTAAGACTTATTTATGTAAAAACTTTCTTTGGCCTCATATGCCGCGTTATTTGGTAATCAAGTAATAAAAAGACTCACAAGGTTTAAGTCAACCGATCTGCTTTTTACTAATTAATAACCACAACTCATAATTAGATAATTATTTAATTATGATAATTTTGATTTATAATGCCGATATTATCTGTTCAAAGTTATATTTTTAGTAACTGAAATGTTTTCTTTTCAGCAGAAAGATTACTGGAAAGGAGAAGCTAAATTCTTTGAACCTTTTTCAAGCACTTTCTCAGTTTTAGTTCCAGTTGTTGGTGTAAAAAAAAAAAATCTCTTACACGTTACACAAGATTAAATATAGCATTAAAGGAATTTGTGTTTTTTATTTGATAATAATTTTTATGCTAGAAAATTAGTGAAGTGTTGGAATTTTTTAGAGATTTGCTTTTAGCACAATCTAAGAAATTCTGTTTTAGGAAATTCTGTTTCGATGGTTTTACCGAAACATCAGCCTCAGCTGCCAGAGTGCAAATGAACGAAATAAGGTATAGTAATAAGATGATTTCTGTTGTTTGACTTCTAAATTAATATGTGTTTGGCGTGTTATTTTACCTTGATAAATGCCTTGTTATAACCCCTCCGTTCCTTCTTTTCTTTTCTTTATTTTTTGGTTGGCTGCCTCTTATAGATTTCGCCTAGCGTTTTTCAAATATGGTATTCAGGTTTCACTATCGCCCACCATATTAAGGGTAATTAAGAAATAAATTAACCAAAAAATTGCTCCACATCCTTCCTAGTTAGATTTTTAATAAGCGATTTAATAAAATTCACATCTAGATAAAACCGATGTAAATTATATACTCTCCTGTCAAATAAGTCTCTATGTTCCATGCTTTTAAGTGCATGAACACATGCACAATTTGTTTTGATATTGTAGTTTTTCCTGTCAATCTTACATTTTGGGAAAAAAGTGTGGTAGCAACAGTATATGAGAAAACTTACTTGTTGTAGATATTAATAATTAGTTCAGTATACTATCTTCGAAATGTAAATTTGCATGATTGTTTATTTATTATTCATTTTAATATGGCAAATCACACCAGAACTGCCTTCTTCATATTTAGGTAGATAAACTGCCTTAAAATTCAATGTGTCTTTTATGAAAGTCACCATTTTTCAGAGTTAGGTAACAGCTAAGGTTCAGCCATATATCCTTAACAATCACATCAATACTTTTGCTCATTTTATAAAAATTTTCTTTATCTATCTGGTATGGGTAGAATATTTCATGGCTTTTATAGAAATAATTGCAAAAATAGGCTTAGATTTGGCTTATGATTAAAATCGTAATTGAAATAACGGCACTATTTCTTTTTAAAAATTGTATTTTCTCGTAAAAGTCAATAAATGTTTAAGAAATGGTAAGTGGTACAAAGATTTTAAAACCAGTTTTGCAGTAAACGGGTTCTGGGTCATATACAAGTCCCATTAATTTGATTCGTCAAAAATATTATTACAATAAAACATTAATTAGAAACTGTAAAAAAAAGTGATTACACTACAAAATATCTTTTGCGGCAAACTATAACTCTAATTTATGTAAAGAATCAAGTAAAATAGCCCTTCATCCACAGTACCCACCGTTTCAAAATAGTTCTCACCGAAGTACAATACCCGCCGCTAAAGAACAACCCGCATAAGGACAGTACCCGCGGACAATACTCGCCATAAACACTGACAGTACCTGTTTTAAGTACAGCAGCCCTTCACTGACAGTACCCATCGTAAGTATAATACCCGCCGCATTTTCAGCTCACCAGTTAATAAAATCAATCACTTATTCCTATCAAATTTCCAACCGCCAAAAGAATTATATATTTATTACTATAAAAATCGCTGTATATTAAAATCATCTCCGCTGATCATAAAATTTAAATTCATAAAAACTGGTTCTTCAGTGCTTGAATATCTTATTTGTACCTATTAAAGCTATTTGTAGCTCATCCATTAGTTTACTGTGAACAATGGCCTTTTTGATCATTGACATATGCAGCGCTTCAATAAAACGGGTTTGACTGAAATTTTTCTACCCTCTTCGATTCCTGTACCCATTAAGACACTGGTTTCAGAACTCTTTGTCGGCAATGAAGCTCAAAGAGGCAGAATCTCTTTTAATGAGAATAACACACCCAGGGACGTTCGACACTAGAAGAAACTTAATCGAGAAAGTAAGTTCTAGCTGGTTTTTACGCTAGCCAATCAATCAAATTTCCCGAAAGCGAAGACTGTCAGAAATGTTTCTGTCAACGTACAGACAGTTACGGATACCTTTCAGATTTGATAATGGTTTCAAAGTTTACAAAAATAAAAGAATTCTCTAGGAGTTTTATAATAGGGTTATGGCAACTAGCGATACTTGATGGCAGAAAAAACTTTTTCTAGAAACGAGTTTCTCTTTCTTTAACCATTTCTAGCCGAAACAGTCTCGCTGGAACGAACATCCTGGCTATGCACGTGGGACATCTTGCGAGTCCCAGGTCATCATCTAAGTCAATCAGCAAGATATTCCGAAAGAGGTGACTCGGAAATGTGTTCCCCCTAAAGCGTAATCACAGAAAGCTTTCAGATCTGATAATGATTTAAGTGAGTAATATTTCGTCTCACACGTCCAAGTGCAACATTGCATTCAACCATTTAAGGTTTTCACTTTCAAAATCGTCTCTTTGGGAAGTATATGTTGTGGTAACAGGAAGTTCGTAAAAAGTTATTTAAACGTTTCTTAGTTTTACAATACTTGAACGGAAAGGGAGTGGTAATTGCAGGTTTAAGAAAAAGCAAAGGAAGTATTGATCATGCGTGTAATCATAAAGCAGAAGATCGACTTAACAGACAAAGTATCGTCTTTCTGTTGGTTAGAAACGTGAGTTTCGAAATTGCAGAAATTATTGGAAGAAGTTATTGGAATTTGTTGTGGGCATAACTTGTAACATGTCGAATATGCCTAAACGAAAGGATTTCACCATGAAAGAAAAAGATAAATTGTTTAAAGATTTTGATATTCTAACTGCGGTCAGAGAAATAGTGCATTTAAACCGATATTTTACCTAACAGCATTGTGCAATTTATTTAAGCAATGAATTATAACTTGTAAGGATCTTAAGTTTTACTAACGTTTATTTTATTTTAAATCTTTACTATCACTTCTTATTTTCTACTTCCGGCCAGAATTATAAGCGTGAAGGATTTTATGCAAAGTTTGTCTGGCGAACGCCAAGTATTTAAGTGTGGCCTTTTTGCCAAGCGTAAGAGAGGAAGCAGTAATTCAACGCAGGCCGCTTACCTTAGAAGTTACGCAGTTGCTGTTCGCCTTCCAGGCCAGAGGTTTTAATCCTCTTGATAAATTAAACGTATTGTAGTGTTCACAGTCTCTGTGCTACATACGCTTCCTGTTATTATAAAGGCCAATCTTCCACGTGTATTATTCTAAAGTTAAATTAGAGTTTAGTTTTTTTTATACTTTTTTACGTTAGACCCCGAGTGGAGGGTCAGTGTATTCCGAAGTACGGAAGTTATTGTATATAGAAAAAATAAAGGGTTTTGTATACCCTTCGTCTGTATCCTGTCTACTTACCACAATTAGTGAACGTAGCTTTAGTAAGCTCTCTGTTCCGAGTCAGGTCCTTGTATGTTCCCGAGAGAGAAGGTTGGAAGGAACATTGAACCTGATAGTGGCGCCCAACGAAGAAGAATAAACCATGGCCGAGTTTCAAGAAGAACCTGTGCTGCCTGCAGAAACGGCTCAGAATCCAGAAATGCCAGCTGCCGCCCTGGAAGGATTCGGTTACATCGTCCAGACCATGCGCGCTTCGATGAAACCAGAAGCAACATTTAAACGGAAAACTCACCGGTAACCAGTTTTTTGGAAAAAAATTGGATGACCACTTCATGCTCTACTACCCCGTGCACGAGTTTCAAAAAGTTACCTTAGCTACCAGCGCTTTGAGGGGGCCAAGCGCTTAACTGGTTCAAGTGTATAGACAGAAGTCTCTTGGGTCAAGCAGAAAGTCCCACCTATACTTACGAAAATTTCAAGACTGCCCTACTAAAAGCCTTCCCTGTTGTAAGGGATCGTGCGAAATTAGAAACGGAACTTTTTAGTATATATCAACAAAGAATCGAAAACCTCTCGAGCTTTATTTTAAGAAAAATTCACGTTTTCAAGCTCTTGTATGGAAACCGTCCGGATCCTGAAATAATTCAAGTGATTTTGCCGAGGTTACTGCCCCAAGTGCAAGACTTTATTGAATTAAGAAATCCGACTACACTGGAAAAGTTATTTGAGCTAGCAATCCAGTTTGAAAGTAGAAGAACGGCGGACGTCGAAAGAAGACGCCAATATCAACAGCGAAACCAATTTGGTACGCCAAGACTACAGCAAACTCAAGCATACGGCTACGGAGAAAAAGCGAATGAGTGGGCAAGGAAACCTGAGCATTCAAAAACAGCCGGCGAACGTCGACAGTTTCAATAGCAACCCAGGAAAAAAAGTCTCAAGGCCAGGGGAAAAAGAAGGAAAGCACGGAAAGGAAAAATAATTTAAACTAAAACAGATTTCTGCTGACGAGAGGGTGCGGAAATCCGAAGGCCACGAAAACCCCTCTTCCTACAAGTTAAATACAGTAATGGTGAAAAATTTGACTCTTCCGAAAGATTGAAGTCTTGGTGAATAATATCCCGGCCACCGCACTCCTGGATACCGGCGCGCAGTGTTCCTGTGTGGCAGAAGTCTTTTTTAGAAAGTATTTTCGCAAATACCGCATATATAATGCGGATAATACGACAGTATTAGCGGCGCAAGGAGGACAATGTAAGTGCGTAGGTAAAGTACCTTTGTATATCCGTATCAAGGACGAACAAGTAAAGGTGATGTTTTTTATAGTAAAGAATTTGCAAGAACATTTAATCTTAGGAATCGACTTTCTTTCAGACGCACAATCTACACTGGATTTTAATGAAGCGTCCCTTAAGCTGACAATGAAACCAGTGCGTAGTAGAAAAAAAGTTGAACCGCCCAGGTAAAATCTTAACCACCTGCCTACGGGACGAGCAACAAATAGAATTCCGACCAAGTTGGTAAGTGAATTTGCTTCGTTATTTAGTGATATTCCCAGGATTTGCTCAGGTTACTAACCATAAGTATTGACACCAGGAGATTGCATTGCCAGTTCGTCACAACCATACCGGATATGATAAAGAATAAAGGAAAAAATTATAGAATAGCATATTACCGATATGTTACGTAAAAAGATCATAACGCCCATCTCAAGTAGTTATGCTAGCCCGGTTGGTTTATGTAAAGAAAAATAATGATT